TGACCGCTCACTGCCGACACATTAATTTGCCATCAGAGGTTGATATCCTTTTTGTCTTTTTAATACTCTCTTGTTTTTTTAACATGTTTAATACTTTTCTGCCCGTGTTTTGTACATATTTAGTACATCAAGGTTTAAAAAATCATAATTCGAAATTGGACCGATGAGAATAAATATGATTAAGAGAAATCTCATTTTCGGTCAAAGCGGATTTAATATTTCACAGTATAAATTTATGTATATATATCTCTAATTCTGCAAATAACGCCCCGAAATCTTTTTCAGTCTTGGAGCACAATCATGAACAGAATTGGAATAGTAATATCATAAATTAAATTGATAAGCAATTTAATAATTTTGATACTAATAAGTATTTTATAAAACTTAATTTGATTTTAATAAGAATCTATCTTATAAGAATATTAATAACTTGATGTATATTAAGAATCTAAAAATAATAAGAGTCTGAGTATAATAAGAAAGCAGATACCCCGAGATATAAATATGATAGCACATATTCATTAAGATATATTTAAATATATTTAAAAACAATAGATTGAAGTGAAAATGTTGAATATTTATAGAATCATTTTAGGAAATAGTCAAAATGGAAAGTAAATTATCTCTTAAATGACTGATCTTTAAATATTGATATAATCAATATGCTCGTAAATGCACAATTATCGACCGCTTGTCACAGATTGCAAAATTGTATGACAATAATCGTGGCGAAGTATACGAAGTGAAATCGCCTTCGCCGCAAAAGCGACGTTTCTTTTTCAAGCAGTTATTCAATGGAAAATCCGACAGTCTATCCGATCGCTCTTCGCAAGGTGATTATCCGTCTGAAATAATAACAATATATAATAATTAATAATATATTAATTTCTAACAAACGCAGCGGATCTAACGCCAATTTCGTGCCCGAAGAAGCTCAAGGGTGAGAACAGGAAGCTGAAGAATCATATACACTCTACTGACTCTGGTGGAGTACTAGGTATATTTTTTAATATAAAAAATTTTATATGTATAATATTTACGCATGTGTTAATGTGCATCGTAATGGTCTCTTAAGAGATTAGTGCGGCACGCGGCACGACCAGAAAGATTAAAACACAATCGAAAGCGCGAAATAAGCTCGGAGCTGTACGGTCCTCGCACTCGACGTCTTCCAGATCGAGTAACTGTTTTATAATTAACAATTTTACAAGTCCAACCCGTATACGCCTTACTGAAAAAAAATCACGTTTTTACTTATTTATTATAATTTCGTTATATAACGAAATCGTGTAATGTACGTGATTTTTTTTCGTTGTATACGAAATCATGTAATTAAAACAAGTAAATCACGTAACAGATTGTCCTAAATCAGTATGTGATTTAAAAAAAAAATAATTTGAAAAATCACATAATATTAGAAATAATTTTTCATCTATTATGTGATTTTATAATTATTGAATTTTAAAGAACTGAATGATAGAAATAGAAGGAAAAATACATATTATCATGTGAATTTTCAAATTATGTGGTTTTAGAAAATCGCGTACTGATTTGGAACAATTCGTGATTTACTTGTTTTAATTACAGGATATTGTTATGTAACTTTATGACATGATTTTTTTCAGTAGGGCGATTTCTTAAAATTGAGTTATTAACACGTGAATAGTATAAATCGCAATGGATTTGTATACTTTTATAAACTTGATGATTAGGAACGAACGTCAAGAGAGAATGCAACGCGTCCGGGGAAGGTCCGCCATCCAAACGACAGAGATTAACGTCCAGCGTCTCTTCGGCCCCGTCTAGCACTGAGAAATTGTACAGCTCGCAAATCGAGGACTTGGTCGAAACGATTGTCAGATCAACCGACGAGTGGCCGAGTCATCTACTGGAGAGCCTATTCTCTTCCCTCGAGCTCGCAATGGAGAACAACGGAGATCTATGCGCGACGGTGAACGAGTACGTCGCTCGTTATGAAGAATTGAAACGGGTCAAAATGCGGATGAAGCAAGAAGAGGATTAATCGTTAATTTGGTCCCTCGTGAATCGTTCGTGTAATGTCCAATTTTGTGAAATTTGTGAAACACGATAGATAAATAATACAATGAAAAATTCATGGAATATAATATTGTGATGTAATAAACGACGCGGTAAACATTAAAAAAATATTCTTTGCACATTTTTTTGCTATTAAATATGTATTGTTCATATAATTTTCATCATTTTGGCATTACAATTTATTTTTGTTCTTAATTTAATTAATTCTTAAAAGTTACCTGAATTAAAAAATTATCTGATTTAAATTATTTAAATTAAATGGTAAATAGGAAATTTATTTAAAAAATTAAATACTTAATATCATATCCACATAATAACATACATTTAATTTGAAATTAAAACTAAATTTTAAAAGTAATAATAATAAATAAATAAAAGGGCTCGAGGGAATAGGCGCTATTCAGAGTGCGCAAATTGTTCAAAGAATTCTCTCAATATAAAAGTTAAATTTATTGGAGAGATGATAGAACAATAAAAAATCGTTAAACGATAATAAATTTTCGTACGTTTCGGTTAGTCTTCTAACCTTCTTCAGCGATAATAAACGCAAAAATTGTGTATACAAAAACAACGATAATAAACGCAAAAAATTTTGTATACAAAAAATTTTTGTATACGTAGGCAATTTAAGCATGTAACTTTTGCGCTCTCTGAACAGCGCCTATTTCTTCGAGCCCTTTTATTAATTTTTTTATTGTTACTTTTAAATTAGGGAATCGTGATATTCAAATTTTTAATTTTTTAAAATATAAGGGTTTATTTTATAAATTTTTTTGACATCAAAATCATAAAAAAAATTAGAATTTATTTATATTCTTATTGTATTTTCAATAATTCTGAAATACTTTTTTTTAGTTTTACGGTTTTTGATGTACAAATTATTCTTAAAAAAATGTTGGTATCACAATTGCTAATAATCGGAGTTTTCTTCCTCATTTGCATGTCAATTGGCGAATTATTTCCTGGCAGTCGATTGTGCATCTTCAAATGAAATGAAGATTACAAAAGTGGACAAATTTAGTAGAATAGTTATGATTTCATTGATCAATACTTAGTGAATTTTTGTAATTTTTATTTTGTTTCAAGATATAATACAATTGCCCTTCAGGTCACAACACATTGTTGTACTCCTCAGGGCATATTTTCAGATTTTCACCAGAGTGCCACTCAAGTATCACTCCGTCCTGTTGTTTACTGAACGTTACTCAAGGATGACATTATGATACCCGGATGGAGATCTGAACACGTCCTAGGATATGACAGGCGTATAGAAAGAGTCTGCTTTGTCTTATTTGTTAGGGATTCCGGTGCTGAGTTTCAAAGAATAGTAGATGAGTGTTCATGGGTGGTAATCTGGGGATCAATTGTGTATTTCAGAGCTGTCCAAGACCGGGTACTTTTAGCTTGAAATTGAAACGTGTCGGTATTCATGCCTATACATATATTAACGTTCCTATTCCTTATTTTATTGGGAGCGGTGCATTTAGACTCGATTGAATTTTAAGCTTTAGCTTAAAGTCAAAGTAACGTTGGTGCAACCGGACCTTGCACACATTACTCACATCGACCGGTAGTATTTTTACTGCTTTACCAATGAAATTATATTATTTCAAATTAATCAATTAGTGATGTGAGCAAAATGGTATAATACACCCCATTTTATAATTTTCACCTCATTTCAAGATATACAATCGATCCTCCAGTTTTTGTTTATTAAAACAAATAAAAAGCGCTAATTAACAGTCAAGATTTTGGTGTCTAATAATATTTTTTATCAAAGTTTAAATATATTTTTCAGTTATATAAACTACGCGTCGATTACTGTCAAACTTGAAACGCAAACAAACTGAAACTGAAATAATAAAAAATAAATTGATCGTAAAATTTAGTAATTATACTAAAATAAGCATCTTAAGATACTGCAAAGAACTCATTGCAAAACAATATTTATTATTAAATATTGACTTACAATTTGGTGTTGGATCTTCGTTCAGTTTTCTTATAATAGTTCGCATAGCTCCAGTTTTGTCGAAATAATAATTTCATAAAAAATTTTAATATCACGATTCCCTAACTTAAAAGTAACAATAAAAAATAAATAAAAGGGCTAGAGGGAATAGGCGCTGTTCAAAGTGCGCAAATTATTCAAAGAACTCAATATAAAAATTAAATTTATTGAAGAAACGACAGAACAATAAAAAATCGTTAAACGATAATAAATTTTCGTACGTTTCGGTTTTAGTCTTCTAACCTTCTTCATAATAAACGCAAAAGTTACGTACTAAACTACCTACGTATACAAAAAAGATCGGAAGATGTGAAATTTATTTATTTTTCTTTTTTTATATACGTAGGCAGTTTAAGTATATAACTTTTGCGTTTATTATCGTTTAACGATTTTTTATTGTTCTGTCGTCTCTTCAATAAATTTAACTTTTATATTGAGAGAATTCTTTGAATAATTTGCGCACTCTGAACAGCGCCTATTCCCTCGAGCCCTTTATTTATTTTTTAATAATTTCATAGCTGGTACGTACTCAACTGATTTTTCAATAATAAATTTCACGATACACTCGATCTCTTCGCTTTCATTATAAAGAAAGGTAAGATTCAAGATGTCGGTTAATTTTTCAATTGATTTTATAGTGTTCAATTTGATTTTTGCAATTGCACATTCGTGTTGCGGAATGCAATGAGTTGCTATAATAAGTAAATTTTGCATTGTTAAGGAACAGTTTTAGAACTTGATGTGATTTCCGAGTTGCAACATTGGCACATTCTATACGCCTTTGATGCATCGATTCGATGACGATGACCGTCTTTTCTCTCCCTTTGTGACTCATAAGATCAAATCGGTTTCTCCTACTTACTTGAGAGTTGAGAGGGCTTCTGGCAGTGGTAGAGGGGCCTGGCAATGAGGTCCAGCGAACTTATCAGTTGGAGTGTGGCTGCTGTGCAATGTTGTGGATCGTGTTGCATCCTGCATCTCGAGTACAATCGTGTTTCGCAGCGAGAAATAACGTGCTCTATTTCAAAGAAAGCGAAGCGGTCTGATCATTGCATATTAAAACCGACGGTGGTGTAACGTCGGAAATTCTCTCTCCCTCTCTCTCCCTTCACCCTTTCCCTATCAAGACTTTACCGATTCGTGTGTGCGTGTCGGACGCGTAACATCGCCGAGAAGCAACTGGGAAGTCACGCAAGCAACAACGGTAACGCGTGGATGTTTTTATTTGCCACACGCAATATTACTGCGATATATGAATCGATCTTTTAACGCGACTTCAATCATGACACAATCCTAGCTTCCTTGTTCCTTTGTAGAAATAATTTTACTGCTGTGAGTGTTTATTAAGCTTCTAACGACGCACTACGGGAAAATTAAAAAGACAGAAATAATGTTTTCAACAAATATTTATTACAAACATGTAGATTGTTAAAAATCCTAAAATATTTCAATTTTCGGCATTGTCTTTTTCTCCTAAAAAAGTAGGAGCACCGCATATATATACCTAAGTGCTAGGGAAAACGACATTTTGGCTGTAATATTACTCTCATAAAAATTGACATACACAGTGTGTGATATTGACGAAGACGACGAAAACAGAAGAGAAATCGTGTAAATGAAAGTTTCTGAAAACAATTTTTTTTTTTTTTTTTAGATATCACATACATGGACTCATATGTTCCTTGTAATACAAAAGAAATTTTTTATAAAATGTACAAGAACACAAAAATTATACCTATATTTATATTAATAGTGTATGCATGTAGGTAGAAATGTAGATATAAAATAAGATATTTGTAATCCAGTTTTAGCAGAACCTGCTGATTGACGTGTCTACTATCACAAAATTTGATCGCACATTAAAAATTAAAAGGAGAAAAACTTAAGTAACATATAACGTTTAGATCTACACAGTAATGCTTGGTTTATGCTTCGGTCTTAACCCTAAAATCTTAAAATTCAGCCAATAGGGCTGTCAGGTTTAATTGGTCTAATTGAAATCTGTATTCCATTGGCAAAAATTTTTTTTAAGACCGAAGTATAAACCAGGCATAAGAGTATTCTTCATTTTTCCCCAATGCTTTTAAAAATTTTTAACTGATAACACTTATAAATTTTACTAGCGTTTTACAAACTTCTACTAATCTTTACAGCAAGAGCTGATAACTATGGCGAGATTAACAATTGTGAATTATTCACATTTAAATTTTTGAAGCATCAAGAATATTTTTCAGATATCTTTTCATATCTCGGTTATATCAGTTAAAAATATTTTTGTATAATTATTGCTATAAAAATGTTTAGATTTTTTATTTGTCATAGTAAGCCAACTTTTTTTCTTCACGGAATTGAAATTTCATATATCACGCTGATATTCAATTCGCTTGAAGTATCACACAATCTTTCGTTCATTTGTTTAAGTAAAGAAAAAATGTTAATAGTGAAATGACGATGCGAGAAAAAAAAACACGATAACGAAAGTTTGCTCTCTTTTGTCGATTTTAAATATATAAAGTAAGGCAGTGTATATCGGAACACGCCTTAAATCAACGTTTAGAAAATACAATAAAATATTTCTGTCCTTAAATTTGAAGAAAATTAAGATAATATAAAAAGAAAACAAAAGAATATATGTGTTGGCACATTCATTAATGCTTTTTCCTCAGGATTTTTAATTGTCGTTCACTTTCAATCCACTAGTATACGGCAGGTCGTCCGATTGCTTCCATGTTTCGAAGAAATCCTGATGTGTGTCCCGAGGATATACCGGTGGAGCATATACCCAGTACTTTTCCAAGTTGTTATTCATTTCCGGTAAATCGTTACAGAGCTCGATCCCGTAATGCTGCAAATCTTCGAAATAAATGCCCAACTTTTTATCAAATGAATTTGCCAAAAATTGATAATCGCTTTCAGTCACAAATGGTGAATAATCGGACGGTTCAAAATTCGTAAACGCGACGCTGTATTTTTCTGGCTCCAATTGCGAAGGCAATGTAAATGTGTCGCTTACAGCGTTTTGAACTAGCATCTCTCTTTCGATGCGATTAGGCGATTCGTGATTTATATCGCTTTGCGTATTTCCCCTTGTTATTCGCAGTACTTCCTGCACGTCGTCATCAACGTTCGAATTCGTCGGCTCGGTTTTTTCGCTCAGTCGAGACAACGAAGGAGATAAACGCATCGCCGCGTCTGTGTTAAGATTGTAACTCTTTCCATTGTTATTACTATCGTGTATTGTCTCCACAGAATCTATTAAAGAATTGGCCAACCCAGTGGTTTCTTTAGTCCCTGGAACTTTATCAAACCATCTGACAGAATAGCGAGGACATTCGCTGGATCGAGAATTTTGTTTAAACATAGGTTTGTCGAACGCCTTTGATTGGCAGGCGAGAATAACTTCGGTATCATCATGATCGTCACCGAGTAAAATCTCGCTTTGACAATACACGTTTCTTCTTTCTAATTTATTTATCCTTCGCGAATTTTCTTTATCGGGGACGCTATTAGAAAAAGTTTTGATAAGCACTTCCGTTGTGGTTTGAGAATCAAGATAGCAACGATCTTTGTTCCCTTGGCATGTATTGTCGCTAACGGGAATTGCGTCTTTGTACGGCGTATTCGAGATCTCTACGAGACTCTTCCCCACTTCGGCGGTGCAACTAGCTATCGTGTCGCCTTTGGTAGACGCGAATTTACCTACAATGTATCGATTCGCAGCTTCGTGGGGCCGTATATCGTATTGCATATGACTCTTGTCCACAACATGGTTCGGGAGAGACAAATCGATATTCCTAGCGCAGTCATCTTGACGTCTTTCATTTTTGAGGGAATCCGAAGTTTCGCAAACATCGACGAGACACCCGAGGTTGTTTGGTAGTTCGATGTAACTCCGATCTAGATTCACATCTGTCGTCGTCACACCGTTGAGTTTGAATTTTATGCGTACCATCTCCTTCCGGCGTTTTCCTCTGTTCTTGATCACATGTTTGTGTATCAGTCGCTTGTGGAATCTCAGATCCGAAACGACCCCAAAGGTCATGTCGCACACGTCGCATTTCTGACTGATATCCCCGAGATTTATCTCGGAATGGTCCAGGATGCCCATTAGCGATCCTATAGCTCCATTGTGCCGCCATCGCGTGTGCAGAGCGACGTCGCTCTCGCATTTGAAGTCTCTGCCGCATATTCTGCATGTACTCCCAACGATGACGACGCTGCATTCTCGTAGAGTTACGGCAGCTGGGACGCGAAAGCCTCTTGCGTTTGGTTGCACGTCCGCGTTACGCATCTCGTTGATTCTAACGAAAAAGTATCCTCGGCCATGAGCCGTCGGCCGTCCTCCTTCTTCTGTCTGTCGCCGCCACTGCCGCCGCTGCCGCCGCTCCGCCGAGAGCGTTTACGTCCTCCTGCGAGCCTACAACCGCGCGGCGCAGGGCGCAATAACTACCGCCGGTGACGGGTGACGGGATGACTCGTCACCGATAAACTTCGTCCGTCAGCGATAAAACTTCGTCCGACTTCGTCCTGGCTCCGATGTGGCGCCACCTCGTGTCTACGAATACGATGTAACCTGGTATCGAGATACAAACATTTGTCAATTGTGCACGATCGTGTTGTGTCGATGTGTCGTTATCTAGCGCGGAGAGAGATTCAACTGTTACTCGAAACCCGAAACCATATTCGATAACATCTAACCTATTGACGAAGATAAATAAGATCCGTGGTGTGTGTGCTTTTCTTTTCCTACGATCCCTATACGAAGTAAATACAATATTTCAACGGTCTAATACGACACAAGATTTGTGACGAATTCTTCAGTTATTTTTTTAACTCACTGGAAAATCACAGACTTCTATAAAATTAGACTTTTATAGAAGTCTGCGACTGGAATCGACTCTCCGGATTAAAATAACGTATAAAATTGACTTGTAAAAAGTATGCCGAAAACTTCTTTTATTTCGTTAATTAATAAATAATTGTATATTTAGAAATGAATTATACACAATAAAAAACGAAATAAATATGTTCACAAAACAAAATTTATAATATATGTAATATGAATATAATAAATTTTCAGTACTGGCAGTGTATATTCTAACAGCTTTTACTGTATTTCTCGCTCCTAAAGTCATAAATTAAGACGGTGATGAATAAGCATTTTGTAGACCATTGTGGACCGTCGTCCATGATATATCAGTGATTTTAATCACATTCTCGAATGTAATTTATGTTCTCTCATAAATAATAAGAATCTTATTTTAGACCATACATGAGAACACTATACTAAAAATTAAAATGTCTATAACGGTCAAAGTTGGATCTTTAATGCTAAATAATTCATTGTAAATTATATATATACTTTATGTATATATATGAGCATTATGTTCTTATTTGCCATTTATTGAACACATAAAATTATACAAGGGCTGTGTTCCAAAATTTACTACCAGTACTGAAAATGTATAGTTTACGTTACGTTCATCTATAGATTTTCAGTACTGGCAGTAAATATTGGAACACAGCCACTAATAAATAAATAGCAACCGATATTTATCGTTAATATAGAATAAATATTGATATTTTGATCAAAGAATATGTAACTGGTATTGTAATCATAATGCAATTATATAATCATAATAAGATTCAATATAAACATATATAATAGCTTTTGTAAATCATCTTTGTCCTTTGTATATATCATGTAAATTACTTTTTCTAAAAATAACATAGAAATGCTAGATTAAATAGTTCCAATAACGATGAGTTTAACGAATATTTACAAATATGAAGAACAAAATTATTACAGAATTATAAAAAATATTAAAAATAGTTATTAGAGAATATTAAAGATAATATATAAAATGTCCGATATATACATATCCTGCTTTAGTATTTAACAATATACGATATTATTACGCAAATATTTTTCCCGGAAAAAATTAAAGATTCGAAACATTTTTACGCGTGAAATTATCTATTTTGATTTCTTTAAACGTGTGTTATACACCCAAGGACTTCAATTATTTCCCTCGGTTACTTTTTTAAAACTTTAAAAAATTCAGATTATTTCGTTTTTACGTTAAATTTTAGTTGTAAATGGACGTAAGGTTTAGTCGTATCGTTAATAGCGCACAGACTATGAGCATTAATGTAGAAAAATGATCATTTTTCAGTTTGTGAAAATTTTCGAGGGAAAGAATC